CCACAAAAACATTTTGAGATCTGTAAAAAAATCATATTTAAGTATGTATATATATATATATATATATATGACCAAAAAAATGACCATTTGAACAGCAGTGTGTAGACTTTTTATAACGATAGAATGTAATGTATTTTAACTCTTTGTGTGTGTTTACATGAGTTGTAACTATTTTGTTCATACACAAGTAGAAAATGGCAACTGACAAAATCTACGAGTTACTTTGAAGCACAATTTTACATTGTATTATTTGATATTTAGGTAGTCCGCATTGATAATGTGTGTGATCTGCATATTTCAATCAGTATTTTTATGGTTAAGTCTCTTTGAATGGACGGATGTAGATGGTTGCATGTACTGTATCTCTCTATGTCATTTCGTTGAGTCAAGGCCTTCAGGTGCAATCCGTCTCCTATCCTCTTCCTCGCTGTTGGATGTGACAGAGGTGTTCAGTGCTGCTTGTTGCTGATTCTTGACCCGTAGCTTTGCCCAGTATCTGTTTTTCCTTCACGAGAGGTTTTCTGTCAGAATTAGTCTCAGTGCGACTACTCTTTGTTGTCAAGCTGTATTAGTTCTGCCCGCGGCATCACAAAGGCCGATGAAGGTGTCTCTGGCTGCTCTGTTGTGCTTTTCTTGTCACTCTGTTCTTCTTTTATTCGAGGCGCATAAACCCTAAAACAAAGCTTCCTGAGTCTTAAAACGTCAATGTCTTAGATTTGTTATTTTGCAATCAGGAGCACTAATCAAGCTTACCGGATGCATGCATGTGCCTGTGGTGTTATCACGACGGACATCAGGTGAGGCAGAAACCGCTTTGAATGAATGGATTTTGCAAAAGTTTTGTTTTCGTGAGCTAAAATTGAGTTTCAAAATAGCTCCCGTTGTGTGTGCATCGCATAGTAAAATTCATTTTGATACCCATGATCAAACACATTTACCTTCACTTTATTCCTATTCCAGTTGCACATTTGTTTCATCATCATCATCATCATGATGAGTGGGTGCTATGTGGGCCAAGAAAGAAAGAAAATATCTGTCAACAAATTATTTCCTCGCCACTTGTGAACAAAGTAGACATTTATCATCAGTTTTATTAATCCCTGAGAGATTTTCATTTTAATCTAACTGCACACTTTATTTACTGTTTCACAGCACTGAAAAACATTTTACCTTGTTTTTGTGATCTTGCATGTT